TGGGAAGTTGGCTCAGTGGTAGAGCGCTTGCCTTGCATGCCTGAGGGCCTGGGTTCGATTCCTCAGCACCACATAAGCAAAAAGAAAAAAGCCGGAAGTAGTGTTGTGACTCAAGTGGTAGAGCGTTAGCCTTGAGTTGAAGAGCTGAGGGACATCACCCAGGCCCAGAGTTCAGGCCCCATGACCAGACCCAACACCAGAAGTGGGGATTGTGACTCAAGTGGTAGAGTGTTAGCCTTGAGCACAAACAGGCTCAGGGACAGAACCCAGGCCCTGAGTTCAAGCCCTAAGACCAGCAAAAACAAAAAACAAAAAACAACTTGGTAACAGTGGCTCATGAGGCTGACTTCTGAGGATTGAGATTCAAATCCAACCTAGGCTAGAAAATTCATGAGACTTTTACCTCTAATTAACCACCAAAAAGCTAGATGCACAGCTGTGGCTCAAGTGGTAGAGACATTGAGCAAAAAAACTAAGTGTCAATGCCCAGGCCCTGAATTCAAGCCATAGAACTGGTACAAAAATAAAATAAAATATAAAGAACTCCAAAGATATCTTGGAGAAAAATCACTCATTTCGGAAGTAGAGGTGTGGCTAAAGTGATAGAGAATAAGAGCTTTAAATGAAAAAAGACGAGCAAGTAAGAGTGCGAAAGCCCTGAGATCAAGCCCTAGTATATCCACCATGCCCTCCTCCCCTCAAAAAAAATACAGGCACAAGTAACTCATTCCTATAATCCTAGCTACTTGTGAGGTTCCAATCTGAGGATCAAGGTTCAGAGCCAGCTAGGCAAGAAAAGTCCATGAGACTCTTATCTCCAATTAACAAGCAAAAACATAGAAGTGTGGCTCAAATGGTAGAATATCACCCTAAAGAAAAAAATTAGAGGAGGCCCTGAGGCCCAATACTAGCACACACTTGTGTGCACGGCACATACTAACACACACAAAAGCACTCATTTCACTTTCTTTTTTTTTTTTTTGGTCAGTCATGGGGCTTGAACTCGGCTTGGGCACTGTCCCTCAGCTCTTCAGCACAAGGCTAGCACTCTACCACTTGAGCCATAGCACGACTTCCGATTTTCTAAGTGGTTTATTCGAGATAAGAGTCTCACAGACTTTCCTGCCCAGGCTGGCTTTGAACTGTGATCCTCAAATTTCAGCCTTCTGAGTAGCTAGGATTACAGATATGAGCCATGGTACCCGTCTTCATTTCACTTTAATACCTACATATATAGATGGGCGTCAAAGATGAATGAGGATTTCATTTTGTAACCCCAAATGGCCTTGACTCTGTGTGTATATGTGTGTGTGTGTAGTACTAGGGTTTCAACTCAGGGCATCAAGCTCATTAGCTCATTCTGTTTACTTGCTCAGCTGGCACTCTACCACTTGAGCCATGCCTCCAGCCTGTTTTTTTGCCAGTTATTTTGGAGAGGAAAATCTAATGAACTTTTCTGCCTAAGATGGCTTAGAAGTTACTTTCCGGTTCTCAGTCTCCAAAGTGGCTAGGATTATAGATCTGAGTCTCTGGCACCTGGCATTCTGTAGCATTTTTCACCTTTTGACTTATTATATACTTCTGTGCATGTATGTGTCTGTGTGTGCATACGCATGCATGCATGCGTGCATGAGTGCACGTGCCAGTACTGGTGCTTGAATTCAGGGCCTAGGCACTGTCTTTGAGTTTCTTTGTTTTGTTTTGGGTCCGGTCGTGGGGCCTGAACTCTGGGCCTGGGCACTGTCC